AGAATTCAAACTACATTTACATCCACCAACACAATTCTAACCACATTTATATCCTCCCACAGAATTCAAACTACATTTATATCCTCCCATAGAATTCAAACTACATTTATATTCTCCCACAGAATTCAAACTACATTTATATCCTCCCACAGAATTCAAACTACATTTACATCCACCAACACAATTCTAACCACATTTATATCCTCCCACAGAATTCAAACTACATTTATATTCTCCCACAGAATTCAAACCACATTTATATCCACCCACAGAATTCAAACTACATTTATATCCTCCCACAGAATTCCAACCACATTTACATCCACCAACACAATTCTAACCACATTTATATCCTCCCACACAATTCAAACCACATTTACATCCACCCACACAATTCAAACCACATTTACATCCACCCACACAATTCAAACCATATTTACATCCACCCACACAATTCAAACCATATTTACATCCACCCACACAATTCAAACCATATTTACATCCACCCACAGAATTCAAACCACATTTACATCCACCCACAGAATTCAAACCACATTTACATCCACCCACAGAATTCAAACCACATTTACATCCACCCACAGAATTCAAACCACATTTACATCCACCCACAGAATTCAAACCACATTTACATCCACCCACACAATTCAAACCATATTTACATCCACCCACACAATTCAAACCACATTTACATCCACCCACAGAATATAAAAATTCAATAGTTTTCTACACTTTAGATGGAGACTGAGTTGTAAATATTCCACAGATGTGGAAACAGACCCAAGTACAGCTTAGTTACTAAGATAAATTATAATGGAATTCTATGCTATTGATGTAGTAATTTATGGTTTTTGGTTATTTCAAATGTATATATATAAAACCTAAAAAAAGTATTTTATTTCACATCCTCCATGTGCAAAATTTGATAAGGCTTAGCAACCTGCAGCAAATGAGTACAAAGGTTGTAACTAGAGGAGATAATTGTTTGCTTTACTTCTTTATTTACTGTTCTGTGTTTAAGAAAAACAAGTTTAAGAACTTATGTGTAAATAGTAATAATCTATATACATATATAATGTATAATAATTGAAATGTGTCTGCATTTTACAAAATACTAGTTGACTAAAACACAGCCAAGACAAGTTACTTTGTACAGACCGAAGGTCACCTTTATGTTATTTGATACGGTAACACGAGTGCATGTGAGTCTCGTCGTTGTAACTTCTGTATCGTTAACCAGGCCCGACTGGAAGGTCAAGTATCTTCCAAACCTGGTAAGAGCTTCTAAAAGGTACAGGCTGTGAGAAGCAGAGTTACATATAGTTATTTAGTTTTTGTAAATAGCTACTAATTTTATGTTGTAATTCACAGTTTACAATAGTTTGTATGTTTTCATATATCTTAGTGTGTTGTGAGAACAAAACACTTGTCGACAAGTACCATGCAGGCATTTGGTTGAATGGTCGTTGGACTTGCTGTGGACTTACAACCAAGTATTCTCAAGGGTGCTACACAACATGGAAGCCTAGTAAACCTGAGATCCCTGTAGAGAATGTAATTCCTGAACAACTTGCAGTAACTTTAGGTGGGCCATGTTTGAACTGTTTGTGTCATTATGTTATGCTTTTAAGATAGTTTTGATGGGACAAAATCTATTTTTATAACTAAACTACTGTGTAATTACTTTTATATTGTAGCATATTTGATAGTGGATCCAAGGATTAATTTCCATTGCTAAAGAAAAAAATCACTCTTCACACATTGGAGCCTTGGTTGTGTTATAAGAGTGGCAGTCAAATCCCACTGTCTGATCAGAGTAGTCCAAAAGTTGGCAGTGGGTGTTGTTGACTAGTAGCCTTCTCTGTAATCCATCAGTTCAAAATTAGTGACAGCTAGCCTAATTAGCCTTTAAGTGGATTTGCATGAATATCTGAAACAAACAAACCCAACAATATCACTGAAAGAAGGGTGTGGGAGAACAGTATCATTGAAGTTTTACAGAGAAATGTTCTTGTTATTCAGAAGAGAGGAAAGTAGACACAGGTTATACATAAGAGAGTGCTTTAACTCTATCACCACTGGTCAAAGACCATGCCATCGTGTTTGTTGACTTGCATTCAAAATTTTATTGAACTACTATTTTATCAATTTATGTCAATAAGATTGGTATCAAACTAGAATATAATCCAAATTTTAGTATTATTTGATTTCTTAATTTAACAGTAAATATTAAAAAAACACTTAAATATCAATGTTTGTGTGTCACATGATATGTTGAATGCAGCACAGGTTCAAATTAGATGTTTGTGAACTCAAAATACTAAGTCTGAAGTTTCGAACGAATTTGATACTCAAATTATCAATATTAACAAGCTCGATATAAAATAAGAACCTCGTATCTTTTCTGTTTGCTGAGACATCATTCATGTACTGAATCAAACACAGTGGTCACACTCACCTGTTTCCATTTTTGGAAATGGTCCATTATATATACTTACTACTGTATATAACATGTGAATAACCAAGCTAAAGCTCAGAATGTCCCTCTAGTGGCTTTCTCAGCCATTTTCAAGTGTTACGGTGTCATTATATTCTTTCAACATGAATTTTCAAGCTGGTAAGGTGAGTCGTTAGTGAGCTCGAAGTTAATTTTTTTTTATAGCCTGTTGGTTAGTGTGCCAGACTGTGTATATAGAGCCAAGCTTAGCCTGTTGGTTATTGTGCCAGACTTGCCAGACTGTGTATATAGAGCCAAGTATAGCCTGTTGGTTAGTGTGCCAGACTGTGTATATAGAGCCAAGTATAGCCTGTTGGTTAGTGTGCCAGACTGTGTATATAGAGCCAAGTATAGCCTGTTGGTTAGTGTGCCAGACTGTGTATATAGAGCCAAACCCTGTTGGTTAGTGTGCCAGACTGTGGATATAGAGCCAAGCGTAGCCTGTTAGTTAGTGTGCCAGACTATGGATATAGAGCCAAGTATAACCTGTTGGTTAGTGCCAGACTGTGTATATAGAGCCAAGTATAGCCTGTTGGTTAGTGTGCCAGACTGTGTATATAGAGCCAAGTATAGCCTGTTGGTTAGTGCCAGACTGTGTATATAGAGACAAGTATAACCTGTTGGTTAGTGTGCCAGACCGTGTATATAGAGCCAAGCATGGCCTGTTAGTTAGTGTGCCAGACTATGGATATAGAGCCAAGTATAACCTGTTGGTTAGTGCCAGACCGTGTATATAGAGCCAAGCATGGCCTGTTGGTTAGTGTGCCAGACTGTGGATATAGAGCCAAGCGTAGCTTGTTGGACATCAGTTTTAAGGATGTACTCATGTTGATTTTCATATATATATGGATATAGAGCCAAGTGTAGCCTGTTGATTAGTGTGCCAGACTGTGGATATAGGGCCAAGCGTAGCCTGTTGGTTAGTGTGCCAGACTGTGTATATAGAGACAAGTATAACCTGTTGGTTAGTGCCAGACCGTGTATATAGAGCCAAGCATGGCCTGTTGGTTAGTGTGCCAGACTATGGATATAGAGACAAGTATAACCTGTTGGTTAGTGCCAGACCGTGTATATAGAGCCAAGCATGGCCTGTTGGTTAGTGTGCCAGACTGTGGATATAGAGCCAAGCGTAGCCTGTTGGTTAGTGTGGTTCTGGGAATGTTTGTAAATGTCATAGCAAAAAGTTAGAATTTCTTGTTGTTCTTTCTTCTACTTCTTTTTTATTACATGTTAACTCAAAACCCAAAACAATGGTGTCAACCAATTTTTCTGAGGTGAAATAGTTTCAAACGGAGTGTCCACTTTTATAGGTATTATTAGTAACTTGTACTAATAAAAAAATCATAATTCTAGTGTAAACAATGTTATCATTACCCCTTAATGTTAGCTTTTTTACAGAAATTTTGGTGTTCCACAAATAAGCGTTAGTACAGGGTGAAACAGGAATTACCAGCCAATAATAGATAAACAATAAATATTTAGAACTTGGTTATAAATACAACCTTCCTATGTCTGTTGAAACACTGCATTGAAAACAACAACAAGTAAAGGAAAACTTTTAAACAAAGGGAAGTAAATGTAGGGATGGCTAATGTCAATCCTTCACAAACAATGTAAACAAGATAGTAGGGATGGCTAATGTAAACAAGATAGTAGGGATGGCAGTCATGTATGGATGATGCAGATACCATTCCTACTATTTTGTTTGCATTGTTTTTGAAGGATTGATATTAGCCGTACCTAATATCTTGTTTACATTGTTTTTGAAGGATTGATATTAGCCATACCTACATTTACTTCCTTTTTTTTAAACTTTTTCTTTACTTGTTTACAGAAGTCTAAACAAACATTCATAAGGTTTAATATTATGTTCTTCTTTATTTAATTTTTTTTTTAAAAGAGGGCTCCTTTTGTTGTTTAGAAATAAAGTGAAGGAGTTCTTTGAATAAATTCAGGGGTTGTGTCATTAGCAGAAATTCAGGTTAGCAGTTCAAGAACAAGGTGAATGATAAACTTTAGGCTGGAACATACATGTGTAAACTGTTGACTGCTACTGTAAGCTGTAACATACATGTATAAACTGTTGACTGCTACTGGAGACTTTAATTTTGGTTGGGAAACCATCGATGAGATACTTCTACAAAGTGATGCTAGTAACGAGATTAATAACTAATGTATTATATAAAAATCCTCTAAACTTATAATTATAGAAGTATTAAAATGTCAAACTAATAAATAAAATAATCGTTATTTTTTTCTGTTCAATACACGTCAGTTGTTTTCAGGATATCGATTCTTTTTTTCTAGGTTGGTCATAAGGATTACTGGCTGTATATAATAGCATCCTCGGATGAACAGAGGAGCGAGTGGATTGATTCTCTGAGAAATTGTAAGAAATATATTTTCATTAATTAGGTATTATATATTTTAAATATCATAAGCTAGTTACTGTTTTTATACAAAAATAAATGGGGTTATGTAAAGCATTATAAAGGCATTTACTATTATAAAGCCAGCAGAGTATTAAAAGCTTACCTCAGTTGTGTGGCATGCACTATCACGTAGAATCTTTAGTAATAAATGATCAACTTCATAATTAGAGGCAGGAAAATGTAGGAATTAAATCAGGGTTGAGATTGTTGGACATCAGTTTTAAGGATGTACTCATGTTGATTTTCATAAGTATTTATAATAGAACAATAAGAGGTTTTATATAATATATGCTCCAGTAAAACAAATCTAGTAATTTAGTAATAAATGATCAATTCATAACTAGAGGCAGCAAAATGTAGGAATTAAATCAGGGTTGAGCCATACATCCCTACTCCTAATCTCATTTTTACATAGTTTAATGAAGTTTAAAAACCTTTCCAGACATGTACAGTGATGTCGACCATACTTCCCTACTCCTAACTTAAATTTTACATAGTTTAAGAAGTTTAAAAAGCTTCATATGCATGTACACACAAATCTTTATGTTTTAAATATATAGATGAACATGTCTTATCTAGTTGAAACAAGATGTTAGTCTGTGATATAACGTGTACACATGTATTGAAACAAAACATGGTTCTGTGATACGTGAAGTGGTAATTTATTACCTATATTATTGATTTACATTGACAGTAAAATATCTGTTATCAGGCAGGCAGTTGCTCTGGCTATGTAGGGATGGCTCAGATTGTTCATTGAAATGGTATTTTAAATATCTCCTCAATATGTCATCAGAACTATACAATACTGTACGGTGTTTCCTTTTATAACAATATATATGTAATTCGACATCACTATACATGTCTGGAAAGGTTTTTAAACTTCATTAAACTATGTAAAAAATCAAATTAGGAGTAGGGATGTATGGTC